GCGAATGGTGTCTCCTGGAACCGCCATCCCCAGCTGCCCATTCGCGCCCCGCTGGCCAAGCCAGCAGCCGCGGGCCCCCAGCCTGCCGGGGGGCGGGCAGGCAGGCAGACAGGGCCGGAGCTGGGGCCCCAGGCGGCCCCGCAAGGAAGGGGAGGCGGCCGTTGGTGGAGGCCTCCGCCCTCCCGGGGTGCCCCAGAGGCAGCCCCCCAGAGAGGGGGTCCCCACAGGCCCCGGAGCGCAGTGGCAGAGCTGGCCCCGCCCTCTGAGGCAGCCCCATGGCCCGGGCACAGGCATGGCTGGTGGTGAGCGGGCCGGGCGGGGTGGGGACCGCAACCCGGGCCGGCCTCGAGGTGCCAGGGCCAGGGAGCCCCAGCCAGGAAGTGTGGACTCTACTGCGCCCGGGAAGCGGGGCGCCCCCGGGGATGAGGGGCGGCAGGGCTGGAGCCGGTGGCCGCGGCGACATGCACCTCCATCAATAGCCACTTCCCTGCCCAAATGACCCCCTCTCCCCTGAAACCGTGAGAGGCGCCACGCGGTCAGCTGTGGCACTGAAGAAACGCCCCGGAGTCTGTCTGCTCGGGAGGGCTCTCCTGGCCCGTCTGCTGTGCAGTGCCCGTGGGGAACGTCCAAGGCGACTGGCCAGCTGGCCTGCAGGGGCCTGCTGACCACACAGCCCCGCAGCAGCCCCCGCGGTGGGTGGGCAGGGGCCTCAGCACCCCGTTGCTGGCCGGCGCTGGGCAGCTCGGGGTGAGGGCGGGCCTCCAGGATGACAGGCGGCTCTCCTGGGGGCCCCTGGACACGCCTGACCGTGCGTGGCCTCTGCAGGTGGGACTGAGCTGAGGACCTTGGGTGAGGCGATCCCCCCTGCGCTAACCGGGGCCACGTCCAGTGACAAGGCGCCCGAGGAGAAGCCCCTGCGGCCCAGTGGAGCATGTGGCCTGCGGGGGGGTCAGGGGCCGCCCCTCTCAGGGGCACGGCCGCGCCCCTGTGCCCAGGTGCCCTCCCCACCAGCCCTGCCGTACCCGCCGCATCGCCCTGCTCCGCTGGTGCTCCCGGAAGGAGCAGGCGGAGAGACGGGGGGTACGCGGTGGGCAGAGGGCGGGTGGAGGTCTCCAGCGCAGCACTGGCCGACCAGGACACCGCCCAGACACCAGGACACTGAGCGTCCTCTGAGGGCCTGTCTCTGTCATCCCTGCCTGTCCCCGAGAGGGAATCTCTGTGGCCCTGGGGCCCCCGGCCAGGGCAAGTTTGGGTCCTCGGCCCTCTCCGCCTCTCCCGGAGCTGCCGGGCCGCGTCCTCCGCCCCCAGGCTGGGCCCAGCCAACCCTGGGCAGGTGTCAGCACAGCCCGGCAGGGGGCTTCCTCACCCAAGAAAGCCAGGGAGGTGGGTGTGGGGAGCAGATGGGACTCCCCATCCCCCCAAGACGGGGCTCTGTCCCCAACCACTGCAGCAGAGGGAGACCTGAGCACGCCCCAGCCGGCCCGGGCCAGCGTCCACTCCCGGTCAACACCTCCCACCGCGGGTCGCCGGCCACGCTCACTCCGCCACGCTGCGTGCCAGAAGGAAAGCAGGGCCGGCCGGACGGCTGGAGTCCTAATTAGGGCTGTCGAGATTAACGAGCTTCCCTGCTTCTCATTAGCAGGGAAATCGTTTCAGAAAGGCCGTGCGCGCGGGCGGGCGCCGGGCAGCACAGCACCCCTGCTCACTCAGCCACGGCCGCCGGCTGCCGTGCTGGGGGTGAGCTCTTCACCCCCTGCCTCCGTCCGGCCTCAAGATCAGGGGCTCTTCGACTTCAGAGCCTCTGTGAGCGGGAGTGCTCAGCCTCCAGCCTCGGGTGAGCCCGCGGAGTCATCACAGGAAATAGTTGCCGGCTTGCTGCTGCTGCTTGACTCGGTGATTTGTTGATCTCAGAGGACAAGCAGTGATAAGGGGTGAAGAGGAATAGTTACTTCTTACAGGCCAGAGCCCCGCTGTGTGTGAACTCAGTGTTAACTGCATGAAGCAAACCTCTGGTTGGTTTCCACCTGCGTGTGCTGGTTGGATGGTGACTCTGCTCTCCCTTTCAGGTGCGGCCCTCAGCGGGGAGGAAGAGCAACGAGGAAGGTACGGTGCGTTTTGGCTTTTGAGGCGTTAGATCGAGAAGTCTGTGTGTAGTAGCAGCCCCCTCCCCAGTCAATGAATCTAAAAGTCATATGCCCTGAGTAGAATACTTTGTAAGCAGTCATTAACATTTTCAGGTGGAATGTCTTCTTAATGGCAGAAAAGGAAGAGCAGCTGGTTTATTACTTTCAGGTTAGAAAACAGCTTAATTAGGCAGTGACTTTTCTGTGTGACGTGCGGTGAGAGGTGATTTGATAAATTTAGAAAGACTCCGCGCATCCTGAGTCTGGAAAACGTGGTCATCTCTCATCGTTCTAGTGAGTCACTGGTCGGACTGAAGACTATAAAATCAACATTTAGCTTCCAGTAGGATTCAGAGTACCATAATTTGATTGCAATTATTGGAAACTGTCATGAGAAACAGAAATGTTCTGCCATAAAATGTTCAAAACACCGGCATATGCTCGTATCATTTGTATTTTGAAATATTGAAAAGCTTTGTTTTAATGTAAAACATTGGAAGTGTGTTCAGTTTGCAAATACGGAGGGAAAAATGAGAACTGAGTCGAGTTCCGCGACGGAGGGAAAGGAGCAGTGCCCAGACAGGGCCCAGACAGGGCGGTCCCCGGCCGGGCCTTGGCGCGTGGGGTTCTGCCAGCCTCTTCATGACGGCACTGACTTATTTTCAGTAGTGACTGATGCGGCCTGGAAACCAAGTAGGAGATTCTGCCGTGTGGTTTATGTACGGCGTGAGCCCGTCAGCGCACCTGGGACCGGCACGCAGGGGGTTAGTTTAGCGTTGATCAGCAGTGTGTCCTGCTAGGCTTGTGACTGGTTTTCTCTTCCTGGACACTTCCTAACAGTCTGAATTTAATTTGTCTTGTCCCCCACCTCTTCCCTCCTCACCCCTTCCCTCACACCTTTCTCCCCCTTTTCAAACGCAGACCAAGTGTGGCACTTCCTTGGCAAGAATGGGAACGTTTGAAGTTCTGCTATCAAGATCCCATCTCTAAAGATTCCAGGGCCCCGTTTCCCCAGTCCTCCGAGGCAGGCCAGGGCAGTCTTGCTGAGTTCCCGTCGAAACTTCCTTTTATTCCACACTTGTTGAGATAATGCAATTTATAAATAAACACTGAAATTTGGAATGTCCTTGGATAGTCGCTGATAAGAGAAGCGTCTGCCTCGTATCAGCAGGTATGGAAGCCCTGGGTTTGCGTGAGCTCTGAGGGCTGTGCCTGAAGGTGCCCGCTGAGTTGATTCGCTCTCACGCCTGCAGTAAGTTGACAAGGTTTTGTCCGTGTGATTCTGACCTGCGTCCCACATGACCTCTTTCCACGCGGCCTCTCTCGCCCTCTGTCGCTTGCTCGCTGTCGGGAATGGTTCCTGATTCGCATCCAGCCCTGCAGCCCCCGTCTCTCTGGGGCTGCTCCCCGCGTCTGTGAGAAGCCCAGGGCGCTCTCGAGGGTCTGCTCGGGGAGGGATGTGCCCCTGAGCCCTGGACTCCTGCCCACCGCGCCATGGCTTCGCTCATGAGGACCTCCGAAAGTCTCTTCCTGTCATCTGCGCGTCTCCAGCCTCGCGGGGGGGGGGCCCCCCGCCTCTGGCGCCCCCTGGCGGCGGCCCTGCCCCTCACCCCGCCCCCCCCCCCACGCTGCTCCCCGGTCCCAGCGGCGGCCTGGCCGCGCTCCTGGCCGTCCTCGGCGCCGTGTCCGCTGCTTTCCGAAGCGGGCTGGGCCTCGCAGTGTTTCCCCGAGGCGGTTTCCGGGCCTGAGCTGTGCCTGCGCCGTCCTGCCGCGCCCCTTTCCCTGGGCCCCGTGCGCCCCTGCACCGACACTGCTGAGGGCCTGCAGAGCGCCGCCGCGCCGACAGTGACCACTTGCCAGGCCTCTGCTGGATACGAGGGCCGGCGTCCACGCCAGGGGACCAGCCCGCCTTCGCAGCCACAGCGGGCGGGCAGACGGCACTGGGAGAGCAGGTCAGCGTTCACTGACACAGTGGGGCGAACTGGCCCCGTGTGAGTGGCCATTTCCCTGTCAGACGGGACGTTCCCCTGCCGTTGCTGCTGTCCACCACAGGCCTCCGTGTCTTTCCTGTTTGCCAGCTACGGTGCCGCTGCGTGAGCTTTCTGTGCCTGTTCTGCCGGCGTGTTCCCGTCCATCCCTACGATAGCTAAGAGCAAAGCTTGGGTCCTGACCACGGGAGCCCAGCTTAAATCGTGCGGTCCACCTTTGAAGAAGGCCTCTGACGGGCTCCCCGAGGCCCTGGTGCTGGGCTGGCGGGGGCAGCGGGAGAAGGCTGAGTCCTCGGAGGGCCGCCGCTATGTTACGGGTTCCCAGTCTCGGGGGAAGTAGAAAGCGTAAAGGTCGGTCGTTTTCCTGAAGCTCACACTAAATTAAGGCTGGACAAGGTCCCGGTGGGACCCAGCGAGGGCATGCTGGCCCTCGAGCCGTGCCCAGTGAAAGCCACTGGGCCGGGCGGTCCGAGGCGCGGGGCCGTGGCCCCCGCAGTCCCAGCACCCCGAAGCCAGCCCCCCGCTGCGGAGGGGCCCGTGAAGCCGGGCCAGGCAGTGTCCTGGCCCCGCCGGTGCCGCCGCCGCTGGGCAGAGCAGCTTTGCCGCGGTGGAAGCGGCAGGTGGGCGTGGCCCTTCCTGGTCAGAGCACAGCCCGTTGGCCGGTGCCCAGGGCCCCACGGGCCGTTTCTGTGGCCTGCAGGGAGCGGGGGTGCAGGCGGAAGGGGCAGAACCGCCTCAGCTCACGGTCACACACTGCTGCCAAGCCCCCAGCCCTCCCGCGGCGACCAGAGCAGCTCCCTGTGCTGGCCCCGCGGCGCATGGCTGGCCGGCCGGCCGGCCCTCTGCTGTGCGGCCCTCACGCCCTGGGCGGGGCCGGCGGTCTCCGCATCTCCTTCCCGAGTGCCCGAAGCGCCGCCTCAGGCCAGGGGTTCCCCGTCGCCCAGGGCAGACGCGGCCGGCGCCCCTCGCCAGGTCCCCCGCGGACCCCAGGCACCCCAGCCCAGGCCGGCTCTCGTGGACCTTCTCCTCAGCGTCCGTGGGCCCCGGCTCTGTACTCGGAACTCGGAACTCTTCAGGTACAAGATGAACGTTGCATATTTTTTTTCCCAAGTGGCGCCACTCTTGAGCCCTGAAATGTTACTCATCGTTGAGAGTTTCGTTCACGCCTCGCCAAATCAGTCTTCTTTGCCGCAGGGTCCCCCAGTGGGGAAGTGCTGGCCTTCTGGCGCGCCACGTCCCACGTGCAGCCTTTTGAGGCAATGGCTAGTTTGCCCCGTTTCTTTCCCCCAAGAGAATAAATGGGAGCAGAAAGTGGGCTCTCTGGGAAGGCTCATCCCTATTTTCAGTATTTAAGGCATTTTCAGAGGTTTCACACAAGCTTCCTCGAACGGCCAGGGACGAAAGTTCAGGTTGCGTGAACAACACCTTCGTGTGGACACGCCCAGCCCAGCCTGACTGCCGCTGGCCCGAGGAGACGAGGCACAGCGGACGTGCGGTCCCGAGGAGAAGCAGCAGGAGAGGCGTGCTGAGCACAGACCAGGTGTCCGGGTAGATGATGATGATGCGACGTCAGACGCGAGGTAACGTACCCCTTGGGGTCTCTCTCAATCAAAAGGTCAGTAAGCTGTCGCGAAAAATTACCCACGTGGGGGTGTGGTATCCACGTCTTGGGGCCAGGCGGCCCTGCTCTGTCTGCTCTCCACTGTCTCCAAGGACGGACGAGTGGACACTGCGCGTCTCAGTTCTGGAGGCCCAGCCTGGGTGGTGGGGGCCAAGCGCAGACCTCAGCCGATGCCACCTGTGCCTGGGAGGTCAGGCCCTGCTCGCGTGCAGGTGAACCCCTGCCTGCAGTGGGGGGAGCACTGGGGCATCCCCAGCCCAGAACGGACTAGCTGTGACGGGGCTGCATGGGACGGCGACCCCGTGAGGCCGAGAGCCCGCAGCTGGCAGGCGAGGCCCACGAGCCCCAGGCCCACTCGTCTCTGGAATCCCGATTCTGCCCTGTCACCCGGGGGAGGGCACTCAGCACCGCCAATCCCCTGGTGTCCGAAAATTTCCTGTCTGACCCAAAGTGGCCCCAGGAGAAGGTGCCGCCTAGGCCGGTCCTGGGGCCAGCGGCCGGGGCGCAGGGCTTGGGCTGCTCCCCCTCCCCTGGAGCCCCGTCTGTGTGTGCTGGGCTGGCCTGGGCGGCAGCTACTCCAGCGGCCGTGAAGGAGCACCGAGCAGTGGCTGGAGCTGCAGAAGACGCGGCCGCCGACTGACCTGCCGCCTCGCTCCTCCCGCGCTGACGCAGCTGAGGGCCCGCGGCCGCGTCTGCCCCAGGGCCAGGTGTGCTCGCGTGGGGGCGCCGGCCGTGAGGCCGTAGCGGGCCTCAGCTGAGCCGAGCTCAGGGGTGCTGTCCGACCCGCTTATCTCAGGGTGCCGATTTTCAGAAGCTCAAGGCCCCGTTAATGGAAGGGGGGGCGGGGGCAGGGCCGCACCCTGCACCTGCAGCCGCAGCGGTGTTGCTGTCTCCGCAAGGAAGACGATGCTAATGAACAGTCGGGGACGGGCAGTGAACGCCTCTGACTTCCTCCGAGTTCAGAACCCAAGTGCACTGATCGTTTGCCTTGAGACGACTGGGGTTCGCTGCCGCGCTGGCTTGTCGGGAGGGAGGCGCTCACCCGCCAGGCTGCCGGCTCCGCACACCCGAGCGTGCGAGTGCGACCCGGTGCCCCCCCGCGCTCCAGCTTCCCACTTGCGCTGTCGGACTTCGCCCCCGGGCTGTGTTCCGCTTCGGGCCGAGGCCCCGGGTTGGTTCACAAAGCGGCCGCAGCGGCGCGGCCAGGCAGGGCAGAGAAGGGTCCCGGGGTGGCGAATGCGGGCGCGGGCCTGTGCGGCCGGCCAGGGCTCCCCGCGCCTGTGCAGGCGTCCAGACGGGCCAGGACCTGGCGGCGCCTCGGCCCTGCAGGACCCCCGGGGCCGCGGCCCTGCCCCGAGAGCGAGGCTCTGCACCGCGAGACAGGCCACCCTGCTGGCGCCCCGCGGTGGAAGCACACAGGTCGGCGGGCGCGGGGGCCTGTGCTCTCCCTGACACAGCGCTCGTGTGCGCCAGGCTGATGACACGGAGCGCGAGGACGGCGTGCGAGGACGCGCGTGCAAACGGGTCGTCTTCACACAGCTTCTTGAGGAGAGGGAGGTGGGGAGCGTGGGGGAGGCACGCAGGGGCCTGCAGGTTGTGGCTGGACAGGCCCCCGCTGTCCCGGTGTGGACGCATGTCCTGGCCAGGCCACCGCCCTTCTCGAAGGGCTGCAGGGTGGGCGGGAGACAGCTGAGTTCAGAGTGCGCCCCAGTGAGTGGCGAAGCTCCGCTCCACGTCCCGTCTCCCTCAGGCGCTCCCCATCTCCTCTCCCTCGCTAGGGATGATTTGCGCCTCGGGGACTCCGCGGATGCATCTCCTATCCTCCGCCGAAGCCCCCATCCTCGCTGGCCGGGCCACTCCCCCAGGCCGAGGCTTCCCTTTCCGGCAGTGGAGGGGGGTCGAGCTCCTAGAAGCAGGACCGTGACGCAGCCTGCTCTGCTCATCCTGGGGCCCTGACATGGCCACCCTGGGTCTTGGGGGACCCGCGGCGGGGAGGGGCGCACCGGAGGGACTGCTGGTCGGCTCGCTCTCTGTTCGGAGCACCCACCGCATTGGCTGGGGCTGGAGTGAGCCAATGAAATGCCCGGCCAGCTGAGCCCGGGGTCCACCTCGTTTCCCCTCCAGGTGCAGCCTCTGATGAGCCCCAGTTTCCCCTGCTGGCTCCTAAATGATGCTGCTGAACCCCCACTTCTGAGAGGGCCTGTGGGGGGGCCCAGCACACCCCGGCGCTGTATATTTTGAACCTGAACCAAGGTGCTAGCTTTCGGTGCAGGAACTTGGATTGAGCGTGTTCACCTTCAGGGGGCCCGTCTTAGCCGCCATTGCTTTATTTGACATGCCTGGCCTTTCACATAATATCGGATTTCTCCCCCCAGCTGTCACCCCCGTGAGTTTAGTGGGTGCTCTTCAGGCTCCCTGTCAGTCTGGCCTGTGGCCCCAGGCCCCACCATGTGCTCCCCAGTGGGAGGCGATTGTGGGGGTTCACACCGGCGCTTTCTCAGCCTCTGGGTAGTGGTAGAGAGTAGTTCGGGCATTGAAGAAACTTAAAAATGAAACTACCTGAAAAGAACTCTAGGGTGGGGGCAGGCTGGCCCCTGCGAGCGGCCCCGTGGCCCCCAGAGCGTCACCCTCTGACCTCTCGATGGAAGGCACCAGCCCCCTTCCTAGAGATCGTTCTCCAAGGCTGTGCACGACGTGACCTCAAGTCAGGAGTTGGGGTTCAAGGTGCAAACCCTGGGGCTGCACACGTCCTGTCCTGGCGGCCTGTTCCCCAAGTTCAGCTTCCTCCATGGGGGTTGGGGGGTGGGGGAGTGATGTCACAGGCTGTCATCTTGAGCCGCACCCGGAGCCCATGGCGTGGGATACAACTCATCCAATACATGCCTGCAGCCAGCCCCTGTGGGTTTGGCGACTTCTGGCGGTGTAAGCAGTGAGAGCCCCCCCAAATGGCCCTGAGCCACGTGGTGCGCCGGCTGTGCTGGGTGGGTTGGGGAGACACCCCACACACACCTGAGACGCGGGGTGGGTGACCCCGCCGCCCTAGGCCGCGGTCCACAGAGAGGCTTCGTCAGTTATTTTCCTTGCAAAATACCGTTAGAACATCACCGCCGTTACTAGGAGAAAAGGGGGTTTCGGTTAGAGCCCCCCTCCAGCCCACGTGGGCAGGCGTGTGTGCTCCCAGGGCCGTTTCCTCACACGAGTATGAGCTTGCGCGGGAGCTGGAAGTCACAGGAAATCGGAAATGCGACGGCAAGAGCAGGTCCAGGAGCAAACAGCGAGAGGCGAGACCCCGAGCTGTGCCTCCCAGGCCGGGCAGTCCCTGGGTTCAGGCCGCATGAGGGAGAGCCGGCGCCCCGGCCGCACCCCGGGAGTGAAGGGCCCCCTGGGCCCCCTGCGCACCCCGCCCGCGCTTGCTCTGGGTTTCCTCCGCGGCGTCTTCTCTGGCGTTTGTCCGGCAGAGCCGTCCTGTGCCACGCTGCCTACAGCCTCCGCCCCCAGGCCAGGTGTGCGCACTCAGCTCGCGGGCCCCATCGGCTGCCCCCCTCCATCGGGCGCCCCGGCCCCCGCCCCCCCAGAGCACCTTCAGGCCGCAGGTGTCAGCCACAGAGGCCAGTGGTGCAAAAGCCTGGCCAGGCTCAGACCCCAGCGACACAGGGCCGGGGGCTTCTGCGTGGAACAGAAACACTCGGCTCCGGGGGCGGCTGCCCCTTCGGGAGAGCTGCCCGGGGAAGGCCGCGGCCCCATGCTTTAAGGTGGGAGCCGCGAGTGAGCCGGCAGCAGCTCGCCAGGTGGAGCGCGGAGGGCCGTGGCCCACGCCTGCCGGCGATTAGCTGCCGATTCCGCACACCTGCCTCGGCTCAAGGCTCGTGGAGAAAGCGAGCACAGGCTGGGAGCTGTTAAATCTCCACGCCGCCGCCCCCACGCCAGAGCCCGCCTGAGCCCTGGCGGGCTCAGGTGTGCCCGGCTGCTCACCTGCCAGCCCGCGGGACCTGGGGGCGGCACCTGCGTGTGGGCTCCCTATAACCCGCCCACCGTAGGAGCAGCCCGGGCCAGCGGGAGCGCGCACAGAGCCGGCTGCACCCGCGGGCCCGGCCTCTCCGGGGACGGACGCGCTCAGGGGCCCTCCCTGGCTCGGCCGGGGTTCTGGCAGCCCCAAGGGCTTGGCACTGGCCCGTGCGGCGCCGCGCCTCGGGATGCAGCCTGCTGACCTCGCCCCCGGGACGGGAGAGGAGCCGAGAGCCCTGCACGCAGCGCGGGACGCCCGACCGCGGAAACCGTGAGAGCCCCTCGCCCTGGCTTCCCACACTCGGCGGGGTCCGAGCCCGCTGCCCTTCGGGGCTCCTG